GGGAGATATGCCCTGGGGGCATGTAGGAAAGTATAGTATTTGATCACGTTCTATTAGCTAAAGCTTAGAACGGTGCTTTTATTTTTTGTGAGTGCAAGCTATGTGGGCGGGTTGGGCCAGTCAACTGACAATTTGGAAAGAGAGATTGAAATCCAAGAGAGTTTGAAGGGTACTTATGGAAAATCAAAAGTTCCTAAGGTGTAGACAATGGCGAGAATGGCATCAAGGACAAAAAACGAAAAATTTGAGGTGGGAGCAAGATGTGGAAGGAAATGCAGCTACATTTGATGCAATTTTATGTGACAACACCGCGTGGAAGCCTTCAAACGGTGGTGGCGTTCAGTTTTGGAAACGATACACAGGAGGCGGTAGGGCGTTCACTAAATCCGGTGATTTTATTTTCTCCGACGAGGAATATAAGGATGGGGTTGGATGGAGGTTGAGCAAAGAGATGGAGGGGAGTGTGCTGAAATGGAGAACAGGAGCACGAGTTGTTGACCTACTTGCAATAGTCGAAGAGAATACATATAATAAGTAAAAATTCTACAGGCTAAGGAAAAATCGATAAACAAAAAATGACTTAAATCTTGAAAATTATGAGGTAATCATACGATGGTAGCCCAATCTTATTCCTTTAATCTAATTACCAGAACTATATTGAACCTAGTTTTAAAATCTTGTATGATTAATGTAAACATAGTCATTGTTCGAAATAAAGATATCTTTATTAATTTTTGTGTAGATTTACTTAACCTGAGCATTGGATTTATATTCATAAAGTTTCAAAGAAATTTGCCCAATATCAATTGACCAATTTATTCATCTTGTTTATTTCACTCGAATCATTTGAACTATCATTGGACAATTGTTTGAATATCTATTGGCTATTTAAATGAAAGGAACCTTTATGGTTTTCTTACTCAAGATTTCTTTAATCTTTGCATTAGATTTACTTTTACAGAATCTTTTTGTTCAATTAATTGGAATCAACAATTTTATTCCATTGCCAACCAACCAACCGGTACAGCAATGGGGTCTATATATATAGACCCAGGGAAAGAGGGAAAAATCAAAACAACTGAAACGGAACTAGAACTAACTATATTTATTACAAAGGAGGACCTAAGCTATTTAAAGAAGAACAATTAAGTCCTTTGAATAGAATAATATCCACAGACTTTACTGAACCAACTTGTAAAGTCTAATCTTATATGACAAGCCTAAAATTGTACAATTGTTGCAACACTTTAGTGATGTATAGACTAGGAATGATTGATTGACACTTATGGTAAGAGAGTCCAACCACATGGATTAAGTCACGTGCATCTTCATCCAACTGTTTGTATCCATCATCTTCTACTATAAAAGTTCATAGTTGTTTCCATTTAAAGGTAGTGTAAGTTTAAACTCTCACTACTACTTTGTTCTTAGATATATTATTGTCCCAAGTTCCCAACCCCTTTTACTTGTCGTGGAATGTGTCTTAAATATAGGCAAGATACGCCACTTGTTCTACATGGGATTAGTTGCAAATTTAGAGGAGGATATAAAATTGGTATTGTTGGTCAAACGGCAGTGGGAAGACTAATCTCATCAGTGCCTTGTTTCTTCTGGTGGAGCCCGTGAGAAGGAAGATCGTGGTGGACGAGTCGACATCTCAACAATTGGGCTTCATTATTTGAGGTCTCGTTTTCGGATTATACCTCAAGATCCTACCCTTTTCAGTGGAACCATGAGGTACAATTTGGATCTGTTGACTCAACATACTGACCAAGAAATATGGGAGGTAATTATTGGTTGATATCATTGTATGTTTGGCATGTACAATGAACAAGATTTTATATTTTTTTCATTAAAATTGTCTAATACTA